TGGGTCATATGGTAAGTCTATTCCTAGTCTTTTGAGGAATCTCCACACTGTTTTCCATAGTGGCCTTTGTCCATTTTTAAGTTGAGTAATTTGTCTTTTTGTTCTTAAGTTGCAAATGATCTTTATGTGTTCTAGATACAATTTTTTAAATCAGCTGTATCATTTACAAATATTTTCTCCCATTCTGTGAGTTGGTCTTTTCACTTTCTTGAAGGCGTCCTTTGAAGCAGAAAATTTTTTAATTTTGATAAAATTCAAGTTTCTATTTCTTCTTTAGTTGTTTGTGCTTTTGGTGTCATGTCTAAGAAACCATTGCCTAATCCAAAGTCATGAAGATTTAAGTCTGTTTTCTTCTAAAAGTTTTATGGTTTGACTCTTAACGTTTAGGTCTTTGATCCATTTTGAGTTAATTTTTACATATGGTGTGAGATAGGGGTCCAACTACATTTTTATAATCACATTGTTTCCCCTTTTCCTGCAATATTATCTCTAATTTTTTTGTTAATTAAAAACAAGTTTTTGAAACAATCTCAAACTTATAGAAAAGTTGAAAGTATAGTACAAATACCTTGATTTCTTGAACCATTGAGAAAGTAGGTTGCCAAAATGGCAGTCCGTGATGGCCATGTTTGTGTGTATTTCCCACAAACAAGAACATTCTCCTGCATAACCAGAATATCAGAAATACAACCATCAATATCAGAAAATTAACACTGATGAATTATTATCATCTTATTCTCAGATCCCATTAATGTTCTGTGCATTGTCCCAATAATGTCCTTTGTAACAAAAGGATCCAGTCCAGACTCACACATTGTATTTAATTGTCACAATTCTCTAGTCTTCTTCAAGCTGGAACAGTTCCTTAGTCTTTCTTGAGTTTTATGACCTTGACATTTTTGGAGATTCCAAGCCTGTTATTTTGTAGAATGTCTCTAAGTTGTGGTTTGTCTGGTGTTTCCTCATGATTAGGTTCAGTTTCTGCATATTTGGCAGGTATGTCACAGAAGTGATGTTGTGTCCTTGGTGCATCCCTGTGGGGGCCCATGATTTCACCATTACTGTTGATAGTAACTTTGATTACTTGACAAAGGTATGTTTGCTAGGTTTCTCCACTATTAGTCTTTTTACTTTTGTGAATTAATAAGCATTTTGTGGGAAGGTCTTTGAGATTATAATAAATCTTCCTCCTCAATAATGTCTCAGTTTTTTCATTTATTTGTTTATGTCTGCACAGGCACATAGATTCCTGTTTTGTTTAAGGGCTTATATTCCTCTCTTACTGTTGCTATTTGTATTGATGTTCTAATTGTTCCACATTTGGTAGTGGGAGCCCCTTCAAGCTGGCCTCTTTGTTTTTTTGTCATGACCCCTCATTCTTTGAGTACTTGCTTGCTTTTTTGGCACAACATGATGTTCCAGGTTCATTTGGTACTTGCCCTACTTCACCCTCCCCATTTTCCCAAAGAGCCCTGGTTCCTTTTAGTAGATAATGGCATTAGAAACCAAGATCTGGGTGCTAGGTGTGCATATTAGGACATTGCTGATCCCAGGACCTCTCAGGGGACAGAGCTAGGGAATAGTTGTATTCTCCATACGTACAGACATTTATATCCATGTGTCTGCCTATATGTTGAGTTTCATGAGTCAACATCAGTAGCTGCAGTTGCAGTCCAAACTAGAGGGGTCAGTCCATTCTACTCTTTTTTTTAACCTTTCCATATTTGTAACTTCCTTCTTAGATTATGAGAAACGTAGCCCCTACTATCTGTAGTAGTTATACTTACTTGATCTGTCTCTCCAGTATTTACCCAATCTGTTATAGTTATTGCTGCATTCCCTCTGCCCCCTCCCATCCCTACCCAATTAGAAAGTCTTGTCACCCTTATCTGGCTTTGCCCCACTGTGTTGGGATGCCCACTTCCTAGGACTGTGTTCTTGTTAGCTTGGTCTCCGACACTCCATGCCACCTGGGCCGGGACCACTGCCCTTCCTCCTTCACTCAACTTCACACCCCACACCAGGCTGCCATGAAGAACCCCTCCTCATCCTGCTGGAGCTCTGAGATCCTTGCTGTGCTGCTACCTTTGTATCTGGACGTAGTTCTGCCTCACCTGCTTTGGGCTGTATACTAACTCTTGGCCATCATGACCAGCCCCCACTTAGTGGCCTTTGGACTTAATTATTTGTGAAGGGGCTTCATGTTGTCTTTTGAGAGAAGTTTTTTTTTCAAAATTAAAAGTTATAAGAGGAAAAAAACTCAAATAGCTTGAATATTTCATTTTTTTCAGGCAATTATTTGTAGAGGTCTCAAAGGATTCTTTCTTTGGCTAATATTTAACATTTAACATAAATAACACTTAATTTGATTTATAATTATTTGAATCTGAGTGTACATTGTTTAATGAGCTGTTACTGACTGAGGAAATTAGAAAACAAATAATAATTCACATCTACAAAATATTCATTTCTCTTCTAGCTCTTCCACCAAAGCCACCTAAGCCAATGACTTCAGCCGTTACAAATGGAATGAAGGAGAGTTCTGTTTCTCTTCAGGATGCAGAATGGTACTGGGGGGATATTTCAAGGTAACTAGAATGCTATTATAATTGACTGCAGTTTTTAAAAAGTTATGTTTGATATTAGTGGTTAAATGAAACGTATAAAATGCCCCACTAGTTGTTGATTAAAGATTACCATTTTAAAAATTGTGTATGAAAACCTTTCAAAAGTTTCTAAATGCTTTTAATCCCACAAAAAAGTGACAAGAAAATCTTTAAATTATGGTTGTGATTATTAGTTTTAATACTGAGTAAATGAAACTTGTACTTTGAAGGTAGGTTTTAGGATAGTAATACTCATCAGTACTTAATTTCTTTACCTTTCTGTTTCTAAGGCAATGATTCTACAATCTTTGCATGCACAAGAATCAATAGGGTACGGCCTAGGGATCTGCATTTATAATCTCCCCAGGTGATTTTTAGGCACTCTTCACATACCTCATTTTGAGAAACAATGCTAGGACAGATTTGTTTCTTATGAGGTGGTTTTGGAAAATTTTGAACTAAAGAAGGAAAAAAATATATATGTAAATTTGAACATTGTATTTTCTTATTTTTAAAAGATCCTATTCATTTCTGCCAAATCAAATTCCAGGTTGATGCTGTATTCCTCAATATGCTTATCCTTCTCTTTCTCTTACTTGTTTTCTCTCATTACTAAAGTAGCACTCATTTCTTTTTTTTCTTACCATTTTAACCATCTTTAAATGTACAGTTCAATGGCATAAAGTCTCATTTTCACATTGTTTTTCATTCAGTTATCACTACCATCCATCTCTGGAACTCTTCCATCTTCCCAAAGTGAAGCTCTGTACCTATTTAACACTAATTCCCCTTTCCTTCTGTTCTCCCAGCCCCTGGCAACCACCATTCTACCTTCTCTTTTTATGAATTTAACTACTCTAGGCACCTCGTATGAGTGGAATCATAGAATATTTGTCCTTTTGTTTGGCTTACTTCACTTAGCATAGTCTTCAAGGTTCATCCATGCTGTAGCATGTATCATAATCTCCTTCCTTTTTAAAGCTGAATAATATTTCATTATATGTATATACCACATTTTTATTTATTCATTCATCTTGGACATTGGCTTTGATGAACATTTGGATTGTTTCCAGCTTTTGGCTATTGTGAACAGTGCTGCTACGAATATTGGTGTGTAAATGTTTGTTCAAGTCCCTACTTTCAGTTCTTCAGGTATATACTCAGAAGTGGAATTTCTGGATCATACAGTAATTCTGTTTTAAATTTTTTGATGAAGACTTAATACATTTTATATAAAAATTGATCAGAAAATTTTTATTTTAACATTGTGCAATAAAAGTATCTGTTATATTTAAATCCTACTTAAATTTATCTTTTAAGACCGTGTGGTTCTATAATTCAAGGTTCTTTTATACCCTACCATTTTCTTTGAGTATTCCAGTGTTATTCCTTAAAGTCCTAAACCAGCTCTGCAGAAGGAATTTGTTATCAGTATAAATTCAAATTGGAGAGTTTTATATTGAAAGGTTGTGAATTGAGTGAATTATCCCCACTCTGATCTGACACAGCTGCCACTGTTGCTTAAACTTAATCTTTCTAAACAGCTGCTGTTTTTCCCTGAAACTCTGCAAGTTCATACCTGCCTAAGGAAGCCCTAAAGGCTTAGTGGAAACACTGTCCCCTACAGACAGTTGAAATCTGGAAGAGTTTAAAAATCAAATACCCTTCCTTAGATTATGTAACACCGAAAATCAAAACAGAAAGAATGTATCTAGAGGGAGGAACTAAATGCCTCTGATGGCCCCCATGATTCTGTAACCTTAGACGTACCCACCTCCCAACTAGTCTTAGTAATAATGTGTGAAGACAACACCCAACACTATGTTTTCTCATTTTTCCTATAATTCTGTTCTTCAGGGAGGAGGTAAATGACAAATTACGTGACATGCCAGATGGTACCTTCTTGGTCAGAGATGCCTCAACAAAAATGCAGGGAGATTATACTTTGACTTTGCGGTGAGTATATTTCAGCATTTTGGCTATTAAGCATTATTATTTCTGGATATATAAAGATTCCTGTCTTTTATTTAAATCTTTCAATGTACATTTTTCATATTTTTATTTAATTTAGATACATAATTTTTAGTTATTTGGCTAACTATACTTTTTCTATACATTAAGTATTTTAATGCCATATAAAAAGGCAACAGTTTTTATTTTTATGTGGCAGTAAAATGAAGAGGCTTAAAATCCCTAAATGTAAGGAAATAAGAAGTATACTACGGACCTTTTAGTGCTGTAGAAGCCATGGGCACAGCGTAAGATTATTAATGATATGTTGGGAATCTACCCTCTAATAACTCTGTTACTTTCCTCAGTGTAGACTTCAGAGAGTAAAACTCAACGTAATTTAGGCTGATCAGGATATGTAGAAGATAAAGCAATTCTCAGCCTGTATCATGCCATCCATGTGTGTGTATTAGAATCTCCTAAGTGGTGGATGTAGCACTTTTTATAAATTTACAAAGATGGGACATACACTTAAAATAGATTAGGAAAATTGCGTTAGATATTTTCACATTTAATTTTAACAATTAACATAGCCTTTAGTACAATAAAGTCTTGTTTTTTTTAAAAAAGAGACTAAAGAAAAGAGTAATGATAACAGCAATAATAACAACTTCCTTGTGCTAGGCATTTTACATGCAAGCTCTATTTACTCCTCACAACATCCTTATAAGGTACGTATTATGAATATTTTCATTTTATAAATGAGGCAACTGAAGCTTAACTTAGTTAAGAAACTTGTCCTGAAGTCATATAGCTAGTGAGTGGCAGAAGATGGCTTCAAATCCAGATTTAGCTGTCTCTTTGCTGCCTTTCCAGCCTAGTATCTTTAGGAAAAATAACCCCATATTTTATGCTAGAAATTTGGAGTTACTATATTAGTTTCTGGTAAAGACATTAAGAAGTTAATACCTTAGGACTTCAGTTGTACTGAGCAGTAATCAATGTTCTACAATGATTCATTCAACATAATTTTTTCCCATTCTAGTCAGGCTTCCATCTCTACCATTCCACAGGGACTGCTAAACCAATGGCCTCCTCTCTCTGCTTACCTTACCTGACCTCTTAGCAGCATTAGTCATAGACACTTCTTTTTAGAAACAGTCTTCTCTTCTCTGTATTCATTGTCCCAAGGTGAGCTTGTCCTGTCCCATGACTTTAATAAATGACTAGATGGTGATGATTCATGAACCTCATCTCCAGCTCTCACCTCCCCAACTCCAGAGGCATCTATCCAGTCGCTGCTTAGATGACTAGAGGACATACTAATTTTAATACAGTCAGAGCAGAATTCTTGATTTCTAACTCTCACCCACCCAAACTGTTTCTCTTCTAGTCTTTCCTTTTCTCAGAAATAAAACCACCATCTCTACAGTTATTAAAGTCACAAATCTTTTTTCCTCTTTCCCTCATCCTCTGCCAACTCTACCTCCAAAGCTACATTTGTAATCTCTTCATACTTCTCTGCCATCCAGATCTAAGCCACTGTCTTCTTGCTTGATCTTTCACAGTTATCTCCTAACAGTTTGGGGTGTGTAGAAAGCGGAGAGGAGGTTGCAGGATTAGGTAGCAGTAGGAACCAAGATATGGGGTGAGAAGGTATAGAACCCTGTTCTGTGAGATGCAGTCCCATTTGGCTAGAGGGTAACATTTGTAAGGAGGAAAAAGTGGTAGGGAATAGAAGGTGGGAAAAGGGTCATGTTCAAGAGGGCCTTGAATTCTAAAATTTGGGGTTTATATTTAATATTGTAGGTAGCCAGGGGAAACCATTGCATTTTATCAACAGGAAAGTTATATGATCAGACTATATTTGACTAGAAAGAATAGAAGAGGATAGATACTAGTGAAGAATTAGAAGGCTATTATGACTTGAGAGGTAATGGTGATGCAGAATTGAATTTGTTCTTTTCTCATTTATATGTATTGAGTGCCCACAGTGTCCTAGGAAAAGGAGATGAACAAGCCAGACGTGGTCTCTTGTCTATAGTATTTGTATTAGGTGGGGATAGTAGTGAGGGAGAGGGAGACAAAATAAATACATGAAAAAAAAATGAGGTAACTTCACAAAGTATGAAGTGCTATATAGGGAATACATAAGGTTATATGATAACAGAATATTAGGAAAGGGAATTTCACATAGTTTTGAGAAAGAGGGCCTCTCTGACAATATGATCTCTGAGAACTGAAGGATTAGAAAGAGCCAGCCAGAAAAGTGTTTCAGGGACAGGTAAGAGAAATGCAAAGACACTGACCTTGGAAAGATTTGGTGGATCCAGTGAATACAGAGACTACTATGGCTGGCTTACAGTGTGAACCACTGAGTGGTAGGAGGTGACGTTGAAAGTGGGAAGGAGACAGATGCAGAGAGCCTCATGAGCCATGGTGAGGAATCTGAACTTTATTCCTAAGTGCAAACAAAATTAATAAAGGGTTTTAAGCAGGGGGATGACATATCAAAAGACTGAATACACTATTACCTAGGGAAGTGGCTCTAGGCACATGATGAGGAATCAAAATAAGAGGCAATGTGGAGCTGAGAGCTAAGGGGAATTGATAACGGAATGGGTATGAGGTTGAGGGGGAGTTAAAAGTGACTGTGGTTTGAGCCTGCTGGCCTTAGAATGAATGTGCCACTTAGAGAAATAGGAAAGTCAGGAGCAGTTGATTTTTAGCTGCTCCAGAACTTCTAGGTAAAAATATATCTAGAATACGGCAAAAAAAAAAAGTAGGTTTAATGCTTAGGAAAGAGTACAGGGCCAGAAGAACATTCAGGTACCATCTACACAGAATAACTGGGACTTTAAGGGAAGAGTATATAGAGGGGAGAAAAGGATAGAGGCTGAAGGCAGAGCTTTTTAGGGAACTTAAAAACTGTGTTTAGCAGCAGGATGATGGCAGAGAAAGAGTGGTCTAAGAGGAAAAAGTAATGTCATACAAGCCATGGGAGGATGAAATATTAAGAAGGAAGCAGGGGCAGGGGGAAAGAAGGGAGAGTGGACATTTCAGTCACTGCAAAGAATCTGAGCCTGGGATAGAGGGCAGAGTCTGAATTTGGTAAAAGTCATTGGTGACCCTCAACTGAGAGGAATGAGAGTGAAATCAGATTGCAGAGAATGGGTGATGAGGAAGTAGAGGTTTTTCAATTCAGTAACCATTTTTAAAATCAGTAAATAGTATTCATTGTAGAAAATCTGGATAGTTAACAAATCTTTAGGAATCTGATATATGCCAGGTATTGGGCCAGGTGCTAGGATATAAGAAGGAATAGCATGAGTCTTCTGTTCAAGAAGATTACAAGGAGGAAGGGTATAAATAAGTAAATAAATAAACCGAATTTACTCCTCCCGAAGACAAAAAACAAACTAAATAAATAAATAAATAAAATATTTTTAAAAAAGATTACAGTGATGGAGAGACATAATTAAAAATTCAGCATTCTTCAGTTTCTTCATGTCTTTACTTCCCTTTCTGCTCTGCTTAGAGTCCATGGTCCTCTATTAAAATTACCCTTGTGAATGTATCCTCAACAAACTTGCTCCTCTCTCCCTTCATTGTAGTAACCTAACTATGTTCCAGCACTTACTAAATTCAACTCTCCATCTATTTCTTGCCCATACCTGGGCAGCTGAATGTGGAGAAAAACACACCATGCTGACTGGTCTCACATTAAATTCGTAACTACTAAGCTCAAATGGACATTTAGTATTGCCCAGCTGAATCTCTGCATTTCTGCAATTCATTTGCTCTTTCACTTTTCCCAGGTGACAATTTCACATATTCTTTTTTTCTCTTCAAATCAACAACCTGTCTTCCCCCTTATAACTAAAGAAGTTGCTTCCTATTTCTCTGAGGACATGGTAGCAATTAGAAGAGACCTAATTCCCTCTTGCTCCTGTTGCTACAGCTGTCAATGTATTTGCACCTGAATGTGACTACTTTGCCTTTCTCCTGTTCCAGTGGATGACTGGTCATGTCCTTGTGCAGGATCCACCTCTCTACTTGTGGACTGGATCCCATCCCATCCCTCTAACCTACTCAAGGACATCATCCTAGGAATTATCTTGTCCTTTCTTTGAGATGAACAGTTTTTGTCTCTCTACTGAGCCATTCCTATCAGCATATAAATATACTGTACTGTCTCCCATTTAAGAATAATACATAAGGAAAATTCCCTTGATGCTCTCTTTCCAGCTGCTTCCCTATTTCTCTGCTCCTGATTGCAGCAATATTCCTCTAGACAGTTGTCTGCAGGCATTTCTTCTCTTTCTTTTCTCATTCTCATTAATCCATTCCAGTCAGGCTTCCATCCCTACCATTCCACTGAAACCATTTTGTCAAGATCACCTAGTGATCTCTACTTAGCCAAGCCCCAAGATCACTCTCCTGGTTGATCACTTCCTCTTTGTGAAATGCTTTTTAAAAAAATTGTTTTTTAGGATACCACCCTCTTAGTTCTTTTACTTCATTACTTGCTCTCCATTGGTTTCCTTTGCTGGTTCTTCCTCATCTCCGTGATCACTAAACATTGGTGTACCCCAGGGCTTAGACCTTGGACCTCTTCTCTTGTTCAGCTATGCTCATCTTCAGATAACATCTGTAGGCTGACAACTCCTGATTTTATACATCTAGCCCAGACCTTTCTCCTGAATTTTAGACTCTCCAAGTAGGCTGCAGGATCATCTGCTCTTGGATGTTCACTAGGCGTTTCAAACCTAACTTGTCTAAAACCAAAATGTTTTTTCCCCTTTAAACATGTTCTTTTTATATTTCCTTCTCCACTTCAATAAATGACAATTTCATTTTTCTAATTGCTTCAGATAAAAACCTTGAAATCATCTTTATCTTGTCTCTTTCTCTCACACCCATATCCAGGCCATCAGCACATCCTGTCAGCTCTCTCTTCAAAATATATTCAAGATCCACCATTTCTCAGTATCTTCACTGCTACTGCCCTTGTCTAAGACACCATCGTGTCTTGCCTAGATTATTTGAAAAGTCTCCTAACTGATCTTTCTACTTCTACCCCTGCCCATTTTGAATGGTCTTATCTCAACCTAGCAGCTAGAATGAGCCTTTTAAATAACAGGATAAAGGGTATCATTCTGCTCTTGTATTGCCCCATCTTACTCTGTAAAAGCCGAAGCCCTTACAGTGGCCTACAGGCTGTTGCATGATCTAAACTTTTGCATCTCTTTGTCTCCTGCTACTCTCCTTTTTGCTCCTTTAGCCCCAGCATCACTGGCCTCCTTGCTCTTCCTGGAACATACCACACATGCTTTTGCCTTAGGGGTTTGCACGTACTTTCCCCCTTCTGTCTAGAAAACTTTTCCTGAAGCTATCTGGTGTGCTAGCTCCCTCACTTTGTTTAGGGCTCTGCTAAGTGTCACCTGAACAGAGTGGTTTTCCTTGTGGTGCAACATACATAGAACAGTAATTTCTCCACCCCCAGAACTGTCTCTTCTTTCTACTCTGCTTTGTTTTTTTTTTTCCCATAGGACTGATTACCATTTGATATATCTAGTTGTTTATTTTTATGTTTTATCTTGATGAGAATTCTTCATCCTCTTTATAAACTTTAAGACGGAGATATGTTCCTCATGCTCCTAAACTGGAATTTCCATGAGATCATGGACTGTGCTTGGCTTGTTTAATCACTATGTCCATTTACTTTGTACAGTTCCTGGCACATAGTAGATGTTCAGTAAGTGTTTTTGAATGAATGAGTGCATTTTAGTTTTTCTTCAGCAGAGAGACCAGCTTGCATTTATTGTGAGTATATGTGTGGGTATACTCGTCTATAGAAACTGCATATGATTAGGTGGTCCTTTCAATGTGCATTTTATAGGAATAGTTCTTCATCCATCTGCATACTGACCATCTAAGCATTAAATTTTAATCAATCCATAGATTCAACTATTATGTTTGACCTTTCTCAAATCCCAGTGCCTCATTTATCATGTGTAATGTAACGGCATGGCACAAAGAGATATAGAAGCATATTTTTCCCCCATTAAGTCTGCATGCTGCTATAAGAACAATTGAGTGGGAATGGTGCAGTATTTTTCTATTCTATAATGAATCAACCTGCTGTGGTTTTAGATTACACCTTATGGGACTTGCAAAACATTGCCATCTTAAGCTTTGGCTATAAATTATCTTTTAAGGGACCATTGGATGTGACTCAGTAAACAAAAGTGGTCTAAACTATTCAATCATCAAATTACATTCCGTCTAATATAAACAGCTCTTCAAAAGCTGTACTTGGTAAAGCAGTTGAATGACAGTTGAGCGATTTAAATATTGTGATAGCTAAATAGTCATTTCCAAGAATTATAAGCAAATATAAAAGAGAAAATAATGTAAGGTACTAAATTAATTACTCAGTTATAAATCATTCAGGAAGCTTAATTATGTTTGTACATTAACAATAAAACCTTGAGTGTTGAATGGATGTATGTGTGACAGATGTTTATCATACCCCATAGAGGTGGCTTCTGCGTCCCTCCAAGGACACACAGTCATGTCTTTAGATCCTAAAGAGATTGTCTCTGTTCTTCCTGAAAAAGTGGATATAGAATTTAAATTAGAAAATTCATTTAGAAAATAAACAAAAGATACAGTTTGCTTCTGTTTTAGTTGTTTTTTTCTCAGTGATTATTTTTGCTAAATTTGTTGGTACTGAATGCTGTGTATATCTATAATAACCAAGATATTTTACAGGCAAAAGAAATAGTTGTAGAAATAATGTGATATTATATATACTTTTATACATATAATGTATGCCTTTTCACCCAGTCTCATTAATATAGTTAAACTTGTTTATTATGTGACACTAAGCTTTCATCTCTCCATAGTGAAAGTACTACTTTAATAGAATTTTTTTGGGAAAAAAATCTATAGTTGTTGTCTTGTTGTTTACAGGAAGGGAGGCAATAATAAGCTAATAAAGATCTATCATCGAGATGGTAAATACGGCTTTTCTGATCCTCTGACATTTAATTCTGTGGTGGAGCTCATTAACCACTATCACCATGAATCTCTTGCTCAGTACAATCCCAAACTTGATGTGAAGCTGATGTACCCAGTGTCCAGATACCAACAGGTATGATTACAGAAGTTCTTGATGGTTCAGCAGCAAGTCATTATTTTACGACATCATTTGATTCTAATTTGTGAGGTTATCAGTTAAAAAAAAAGAAATCTGGACTTTTAAAATTTCCTACTTAAAGATATTTTTGGAACTTATTTTGTGGCTAGTATTTCTTAATAGCTAGTTGCATATATTTATTAACTTAGTATAAAAGTACTTCTGTTTATGTTTTCTATTTATACGTTATTATTAAATTTTTGAAGTATTCATTATTTTGATGTGATCTAAAGGTTTATCTTAGTCTTAACAAAAGGATTTAGTGCTATGTCTATGAGCCTATTTCTGTTCTGTATTTATGGTTTGTTTGTTTGTTTTTTTAATTTTTTTTAGACATAAAATACAGACTTGTGGTTGCCAAGGGGGTGGGGGGTGGGAAGAGATAGACTGGGATTTCAAAATTGTAGAATAGATAAACAAGATTATACTGTATAGCACAGGAAAATATTCACAAGATCTTATGGTAGCTCACAGAGAAAGGAATGTGACAATGAATATATATATGTTCATGTATAATTGAAAAATTTTGCTCTGCACTGGAATTTGACACAACATTGTAAAACGATTATAAATTAATAAAAAGTTTTTAAAAAAAGGACTTAGTGCTTTTGCATGCTTGGTATTAATACAGTGGCTTAAGCTTACAGTAGAAATACAATTTAAAAATAAATAGATGTGGAAAAATCTCTGTTTCAGAATTGTTAACGTTCTTTACTTCTTTTGTTTACCTGTATAGGATCAATTGGTAAAAGAAGATAACATTGATGCAGTAGGTAAAAAACTGCAAGAATACCACTCTCAGTATCAGGAAAAGAGTAAAGAATATGACAGGCTATATGAAGAATATACCAGAACATCCCAGGTTAGTATATTTTTGTTGTTTGGGCCAATAAGTATGCAATAAGTATTACAGTTACATCAGATGTTCTATAATTTTATAATTTTCTATGATTCAGCTGACAATCTTCAGCTGTCTTAATATCTTAAACAGCCTTTTTGAGACTTTAATGATATAAATTCCTCTTGCATTCTAAGTGACTTTTTTATTGGTTAAGGATATAATTTATATCAGTAAGTATTAACTAAGATAAGATTTGACTGCAAGTGACAAATAATAAAACAACAAAGTCTTCAGTTAGAAATTTTTCTTTTATGCATAGGCAGTGAAGAGGTGTTATTTTAATTACACAATCATTGGGGTCTAGGGTTCTTCTGTCCTATGCTTTTTTATCTGTGGAAGTTGCTTTACTCCAGTATCAGCCATTACAACCATATTCTAGCAAACAGGAAAAAATAGGAAGGAGAAAGGAACATGCCCTATTTTAAGGCTACTTCCTAGAAGAAGTATACACTGCTTCCATTTTCATCCCACTGGCTAGACAACCACAGATTACAACTAGCTGCAGGGGAGGCTGAGGAAACTAGTCTTTACTTGGTCAGGTTTGCTCAGCTAACATTTGGAAGTTTACTGAGGAAGAAGGAACAATAGTAATGGAAGTTGTGGGACCACTAGTAGTCTCAGTTACATAGTTTTTAGATCATAAACCTTAATGATCAATAATATTTTAAAAGTCACATTTGTGATGTAGAGCAAATTCTGAAGAGTAATTTAGTTCTTTTCATAGAAGTGGTTTTTCTTGGTTCTTTCCCTAGAACTGCTTTGTTTCTTTTTTGCTTACACTTGGATTGGTTTAAACTGCCCTGAGCTGTTACATAGTATATAAAAGGTGCTAAGAATTTTTATGAAGTTGCACATCTTCAGGAAATATTGTCTGTTGCAATATTTGGGTCAGTTGTGGCCTGAGAATGTATATTTAACTGAGTTTCTCATGTACATTCTTTGGAAACACAGATTATTACTTTAAATACCAAATGGTTTATAGAAGCATTAGTTTGTGTCGATTAGTCCTTGTTATAGTAGCATTAATCCACTTTACTAAGTTTAAAGTGAATTCTCTGTGCAACAGCAACTTGCCTGAATTCTTTCTAGGAGGTAACAGTAATGGGTTTTTTTTCCTGGTATTTGTTTTCTGTTGCATAAATTTCTCCTTTTCTCTTCAGTATTTACTTTCTTTTGCTTTCTTTCAATTTAATTTGCTCTTCCTTTTCTAGCTTTTTTAAGGTAGAAATTTTGTTCATTGTTTTTAAAATTTCTTATTTTTCTTTCTCTTTCTGGCTTACTTTTACTTAGAATGACGATCTCCAGGTCCATCCATATTGCTGCAAATGGCATTATTTTACTCTTGTTTATGGCTGAGTAGTATTCCATTGTATAAATATACCACATCTTCTTTATCCAGTTATCTGTTGATGGACATTTAGGTTGCTTCCATGTCTTGGCTATATTGTATATAGTGCTGCTATGAACATTGGGGTGCACGTATCTTTTTGAACTAGAGTTCCCTCCAGATATGCCCAAGAGTGGGATTGCTGGATCATATGGTAATTCTATTTTTAGTTATTTTGAGGATCCATACTGTTTTCCACAATGGCTGCACCAAACTACATGCCCACGAACAGTGTAGGAGGGTTCCCTTTTCCCCAAGCCTCTCCAGCATTTATTGTTTGTGGACTTTTGAATGATGGCCATTCTGCCTGGTGTGAGGTGATATCTCATTGTAGTTTTGATTTGCATTTCTCTGATAATTAGTGATACTGAGCATTTTTTCATGTGCCTCTTGCTGTGTGTGTCTTCATTGGAGAATTGCTTGTTTAGGTCTTCTGCCCATTTTTGGGTTGGATTGTTTTTTTGTTGTTAAGTTGTATGAGCTGTTTATATATTCTGGAAATTAAACCTTTGTCATTCACATGATTTGCAGATTTTTTCTTCCACATCCTAGGGTATCATTTTGTTTTGCATAGGTTATTGATTTGACCGTTGGTTAAGAACGTGTTGTTTAATTTCCACACATTTGTGGATTTTTTTCAGTTTTCCTTCTGTTATTTATTTCTAGTTTCATTCCATTGTGATTTGAAAGTATATTTTGTACAACTTCACTCTTTTAAAATGTATTATGATTTGTTTTGGGGCCTAATGTGATCTGTCCTAGAGAATATTTCATATGTGCTTGAAAAGAATGTGTATTCTGTTGTTGTTGGGTAGTGTTCTGTATATGTTAGGTCTAACTGATTTATAGAGTTGTTCATATCCTCTATTTTCTTATTCATCTTTCATCTGGTCATTTTATCCATTATTGAATGTGAGGTATTGAAGTCTACAACTGTTATTGTAGAACTGTCAAACTGTTTATTCCACTTTCAGTTCCATCAATTTTTACTTGATTTATTTTGAGGCTCTCTCATATATGTTTCTCTTTTTCTTCTTGTATTCCCATTGCATGTGTGCTATACCTTTTGCAATTGTCCCAGAGTTCTTGGATATTCTGTTATTTTTTTCAGTCTTCATTCTCTTTACTTTTCAGTTTTGGAGGTTTCTGTTGAGATACCCTTAAGCTCAGGGGTTGTTTCCTTAGCCACGTCAAGGTAGTAGTATTTCCATCTCTCTATGTGTTGCCCATATGTTCTTGCATTCAGTCTGCGTTACCTATTAGAGTCCTTAGCATATTAGTCATAGTTATTTTAAATTCCTGTTTTGATAATTTCAACATCCCTGCCATGTTGTTTCTGATGCTTGATATGTCTCTTCAAATTGGTTTTTTTGTGTGTGTGGGTGGGGGGGATGGCTTTCGGTTGCTTTATGATTTTTTCTTTTTTTAAAATTTATTTTATTTATTTATTATTTTTTTAAATGGAAGTACTGGGGATTAAACCCAGGACCTGGTACATGCTAAGCATACACTCTAGCACTGAACTATTACCCTCCCCCACCTATAATTTTTTCTTGATATCTGGAAAGGGTGTACTGGGTAAAAGAAACTGCTGTAAACAGGCTTCTAGTAATGTGGTGTTGAGGTATTGGGGTGGGAAAGCATCCTATAGCCCTATTATTAGGTCTCAATCTTTTAGAGTCCTGTGCCTCTGGACTCTGAACTTCACAATGTTTCTCAGATTTTTTTTCCTCCATTCTTAAGTGAGAGAGGATGGGTAGAGTTGGCTGGAGTTGGGTTATTTCCCTTTTCCCAGGTCAGCGAGGCTCTGATAGTACTGAAGGAGGCTAGGCTGTGGTTAACTAGCTTCTTCTGAGGTGAGGCCTTATTATGAAAGACAGAGTGCTCTGGCATACTTCAGAATGGTTCCTTTTCTCTTCTCACTGCTGGAAGCAAGAGGGGATTTTTCTTTGGAATTTGCTATGAGAACTTCGTTGAGCTCCTAGAAGTAAATCTCTTAAAATTTGGGGAAACCCTCTATGACTGGGTCCCCTGGAGATTTTAACTGTCAGAGTTGTCTACACTGAGCCTCCAGCGGCCATTTGTCAGTTACAGTTAAATTTTCTGCCCTATGCTGGTTCCTGCAGAGGTTTCTGCTTTTGCATCTCTGCCATGTTGTAAGCCATGGTAACATGTATTCATCTGTCTGCCTCTCCAGCCTTGGGGACATCAGTTTGTCCTGTGTCCTTACCTCTCCTACAGATGCTGGAAGAGTAGTTGCTTTTTTAGGCTGTTCAGCTTTTTACTTGTTTTTTGGATGGAGTGGTGACTGCCAAGCTCCTACATGCAGATCTGGAAACAAGAAGTCTTGGCACATATGCTTATGATTGTTTTGTCTTCTTGATGTATTGAATCTTTATCAATAGGTAATGTCCTTATTTGTCTCTTTTAACCTCTTTTGACTGAAAATCTATTTTGATAATAATATAGCCACCACAGCTCTCTTTAGGTTCCTATTTGCATGGGATATTTTTTCCATCCTTTTACTTTCAATGTTTTATGTCTTTGCATTGGAAGTGAGTCTTTTGTAGACAGCATATGGGTGGATCATGGTTTTTTTTTTTAATCTGCCTGTGAGTTTCTCCCTTTTAGTTGGAGAGTTTAATCCATTTACAGTTAAAATAAGTACTGATTACTGATAAGAAAGGACTGACATCTGGCATTTATCTATGAGTTTTCTGTGTCTTATGTGTTTTTTATTCTTCAGTTCTTCCATTACTGGCTTTTTAAAATTCAGTTGATTTTTTTGGTAATGTACCTTTTTGATTTCCCACTTCTTTCCTTTTCTGTGTATTTTTTAGTTTTTTTAGTAGATGCCTTAGAGATTACAAGTAGCATCTCTTTTTTAGTATTTTTGAATATCTACTAATATCAAATAACCTAATTTGAGTAATACCAACTTACTATAAATAGGTTTTCAGTAGGGTATAAACACTGCTCCTATGTGTCTTTATTCCTCCCCCTTATATTTTTCTTGCCACTGATTACATTTTTCACATTGTATACCCATTAACATATATTTATAATTATTGTTTTATGCATTTGTGCTTTAAATCATATAGAAAAAAGGGGAGTTACAAACCAAAAGTACAGAAATACTGGTTTTTGTATTTACTTTTGCAGTTACCTTTACTCTTACTCTTTGTGTGGCTTTGAGTTACTGTCTGGTGTCCTCTTCATTTCTCCCTGCTGGAGTCTCTCTGGCATTTCTTGTAGGGCAGGTCTGGTGATAACAGGCTCCCTCAACTTTTGTTTATCCAGGCATATCCTAATTTTCCCTTCTTCATTCTTGAAGGATGGTACTGCTGGGTATAGAATTCTTGGTTGACAGGTTTTTTTTCCTTTAGGGCTTTAAATATGCCCACTGCCTTCTGGCCTCTATGGTTTCTGATGGGAAATCAACTATTTTATTGAGGGTCTTCTGTATATGATGAGTTGTTTCTCTTTTTCTGCTTTCAAGATTCTCTTTGTGTTTTGACAATTTGACTATAATATGAAATACTTGTTTTTTTTAATGTCTTTGTCTGTAGTTTAT